TGTTAAGAGTTACCAACATTTTAAAGTTACAAACAACCTCCATTCCCAAGGTGTTCATAACTCTGATGTTCTACTGTATGTACAGAATTATCTGTTGCTCTGTATATATTGGTCAGTCAGCATATCTGTCTTAGACCCCATATGGGTTTATAACTTGTTTTTTGAAGAATAATTCAGCCGGGAGCACTTTAAAAAAAAAACATGTTTGAAGTTTCTTTATTTTTGCCCTTGATGCTATAAAATAAATACCCATCTCAAAGCACATTTTTTGTAACACCTAAAATAACATCGATGTTTAATCGGGATTTCTGATGGGCTATTGAGTATTCCCATAGTAAGAACTTGTGAATGTAGGTATTTGTACTAAATTGAAGATTGAACTGCCATGTCATTTTAGGTGAGCTAATACTGCACTTGCTTTTAAAAAATCATTTCTTAAGTATTTCTGCTGTACAGAATGGACAGAATACTATGAATATTACACTTTTTAACAATGTTGTACAAGTTCCAAAAAAGGCCAGAGCAGTATTTCTCTTAGTATTTTAAAATGTTGATATTATTTACATGGCAAGTTTTAATAGTTACAAGGGTCAGGGGTGTGAGCAGCATAGTTAAGCTGACCTAAGTCCACATGTAGGCAGTGGTAGGTAGACAAAAGAATTCTTTTGTCAACCTACTTACCGCCTCTCAGGAAGGTGGATTACCTACACTGTGGGAGAATCCCTCTCATCGGCATAGGTAGTATCTACACTACAGCATTTTAAGTGTAGACAGGCCCTCAGTTATACCCTATTACCACTGCTGCTTCATTAATCAAAACTACAAATGCATGGTATATAAATTGCCACGCTCTACAGTATTGTCTGTCATCGTACTATACATCTGTGTCATCTTTTTAACATGCTTCTTTCTCCCTGCCTTCCCCAAGAGTGGTAAAGCTGTGGCTTCGCATTATTTCAGGTCTTCTTTTAATGGAAGCAAATGCCAGCAAGCTTGTAGAAACATCTTCACCAGGCCAGAGTGCAGCCAAAACTCATAGACTTTATCACATTACTTTAATTAACAATCACACTAATTTGGATTTTATTCCAGCTAATACACCTCTACCTCGATATAATGCTGTCCTCGGGAGCCAAAAAATCTTACTGCATTATAGGTGAAATCGCGTTATATCGAACTTGCTTTGATCTGCCGGAGTGCGCAGCCCCACCCCCTGGAGCACTGCTGTTCCATGTTATATCAGAATTCATGTTCTATCGGGTCGCGTTATATCAAGGTAGAGGTGTATTCACGACGCTACAGCATCCACCAACCACAGATTTCAGTTCCCTGTTCTGTGTTAGAATTTATTTGGGGCTACATATGTGTTGAACAGAGAAGAGGGGGATAATATAGCTTGACATCTTCCTCTTTTCCAATTCCCTCAGGATTTACTGGGTTTTTAGCTGCTTTGATGTGTAAGCCTTGTTCACTTACCAATATACTCTTTAGAATGACGTACCTCTATTAGTTGATTAAATGTTTATTCAAATGTCTGTGCATGTGTATCCAGTAAGTAAAGGATTTAAACAGCTTTTCAGTTTGTAATCCAGCCCCAAACATTTATCTTCCGGTAAGTTTTTTTTTTTTTTATAAATGTTGAGAGCAACATGGAGATATATAATGGTACACAATTCAGAAAGGACTGTATGATCAGAGGCTTTGGGGCAATTAGTAATTTGCAGTAGCAGAGGAAAATAAATTGGAGCTGTGTGGCACTGTACATGGCCAGTTGTGTTTTGATAGATTGTAAAATATTACCTGGACCAAAGGTCTCATTTTTAATTTATAAGTAAGGCCCTTCGTTTTCAGTTTAAACCGATTTTTACCGAAAAATTCCCAGATTTTACAAAAAGTATTATTCATTTTTTTCTGATTTTCACCCTACTTTTTAATCATTCAAATATATAAAAAATAACTTGTTTTATTAGGAAACTACAATACATTGCATGTGATATATGTGTTACGATAATACATTAGTCTGTGTTTATGCAAAGCTGCCTCTTTGGAGTAAGGCTATGAATTAGTCTAGAACAGGCCTGCACAACATGCGGCCCGCATGGGTTCACTGACACGGCCCATGGGGGTTGAGTAGGTGGGCTCACTGTGCGGCCTGCAGGGGGGTGAGTAGGCAAGCGGTGGGTGAAGGGGGGGGCGGGCTGAGTAGGCGAGCGGGCGGGGAGTGAGTAGGTGAGCCAGCGGAGGGGGGCTGAGGAGGCAAGCAGTGAATTGGTGGCTGACCTGTTCTACTGATCTGATCTGGTCTGGCTCCCATCCCCACTCCCAGGGCCAGCTCCAGGCAACAGCAAAACAAGCAGGTGCTTGGGGCGGCATATTTCTAGGGGCAGCATTCTGGTGCCAGCCATCATAGGCGCCGACTCCGAGACATGGGGGAAAAAGTGCCCCAGCTCGCCTCCACTCCGCCTCCGCCTGCTCCCCTGAGCGCACCGCCACCACTCCGCTTCTCCCCCTTCCCTCCCAGGCTTGCCGCACGCGAAACAGCTGTTTCACGCGGCAAGGCTGGGAGGGAGGACAAGCCGAGCGGCGGGGCGCTCAAGGGAGGCAGCGGTGGTGGTGGAGCGGAGGTGAGCTGGAGCGGGGAGTGGTTCCTCTACCCCCCCCATTACTTCCTGCGCCCCCCCACCCTAGCTCACCTCTGCTCCGCCTGCTCGCCTGAACGCACCACTGCTCCGCTTCTCCGCCCTCCCTCGCCTGAGAGGGAGGGGGGAGAAGCAGAGCGGCAGCACACCCGTGGGAGCAGGCGGAGCGGAGGTGAGCTAGGGCGGGAGGCCGTGGGGGGCCCGCAGGAAGCAATGGTGGGGGGGAAATGCAGTACGCCGGGGGAGGAGGCGGGGCTGGGGATTGGGAGAAGGGGTTTGGAAGGGGTGGAGTTGGGGCGGGGCCGGGGGCAGAGGGGCACGAAAAAAAGGGGGGGCGGCCAAAAATTTTTTTGCTTGGGGTGGCAAAAATCCTAGAGCCGGCCCTGCCCTCTCCAAGAGTTGCAGCTGTCTGGAGGTGCCTGCCTTCCACGCCTTCCTCATTCACACCTCATTCCTTCAACAGGGCAATTGATTACAAAGTGGGGGGAAGATCTTATTCTACTTCTAGCAAAAAGACATTTTTCTTTTACCTAAATTATACTACCTTAGGGGCCCGCTATAACAAATTACCGAGGGTCAATACTGCTTTTTCGGTGGGGTGGCGCTGGGGAAGGAGGGTTTGTTTCCGCGGGGCAGGTGGCGCTGAGGGGGGTAGTGTTTCGGCAGCGCTGGGGGGTTGTTTCCATGTGGTGTGTGGCGCCGGGGGGGGGGGGCGTGGGTGGCGCTGGGGAGTTTGGCAGCGCTTGGGGGTTTCGGCCCTCAGCTCTTTTCTTTGGAGTAATATGGCCCTCGCCGCTTTACGAGTTGTGCAGGCCTGGTCTAGAAGATTCATACAATAAACAAACAGGCACACACGCAAGCTCTGAAGCGCATGGGCATCTGAATGTACTGATGAATCTGGTTTAAACCAGATAACGGTTTAAAGATCTGACACATTAAAATGGGAAGAAAACGAAAATCTGTATCAGAATATGTTTCAAAACGCAAAGAAGTACAGTATTTGAAAGTTTGAAAAAACAAAAACAGGAGAAAAGGATGAAGTTGAGTGTATGTGCTGCAAATGGTGCAGTTTAATTATTAAATGTAAATATTTATAAGCAATTAGTTCTAAGTCTACAACAGTAAACTATTTATTCAAATGAAAAGTTATATTTGGGGATTAGACAGATATTTGTTTTCTTAAAGGTGGCATTGTGTTTAGAGTTCTGTTTTAGTTCTGCAGCAAACCACATTGATGATCGGAGTTCAAAGCATTAATCTACTGAATACTTCCCCCCACCCCCCTGGTCTTTCCGTCCACCAAAATAAACCCCGATGTTTACCCAGAAAAATTAATACTAGTTTTTTGCACTGATTGTCACCTGTTTTTGTTCTTCTCGTAATAAAGTGATAAATTCCTGTGAAAAATTAAATAAATTAAAAATGAAAACAAAGGGCCCTATTTATAGGATAGTATACTTCTCCCCCCGCCCCCCAGCCTCTTTTGCTATAGCAAAGTAATGTAGAGCTTGAGTATTACCGCAACAGAGCAGAAAGATAACCAGCTTCATGCTGATGCAAATATATACAAGGGTGATGTACTATGAAAAAGGTGGTTAATAACCTCCAATTAGTGAGTTACAAAGGGTTGAAAATATAGGTTCCCCATAATCCGTGCAAACATCACCCAGTGTAATACCCAGAGATAGTCTTAGTGCATTCAAAATATTTTGGTGCAAGGGACTGGGCAGCTGTGGGGTGACTGGGAGCTCTGGGGCCCCCACCACCCATGGGGACTCAGAGCTCCAGGGTCCCCTGCCCCCAGCGGCGGAGGGGAGCTGCAAGGTTCCCCTGCCCCCTCCCATGCGGTGGGGAGCTGTGGGAATCCCCCTGCCGCCATTACAGTGGGGCGCTGCCAGGGTACCTTCCTGCCCCGCGGCGGTAGCCGGGGAACTGCCGGGGTACCCCCCTACCTCCGGCAGCTGGGAGCTTCTAGGGTACCCCCACTGCCCAGGGCCGGCTAGCAGGTTGGGGGCCCACTACCTCCCAATCGGGGGACTTTACAGCTCCCAGCTTCTGCAGGAGGCAGCAGGACCCTGCAGCTCTGTCGCCGGGGCTGAAGTCATGGAGGTCTTTGGAAGGCACAGATTCCGTGACATCCGCAACCTCCCTGATAAAATCGTAGCCTTGGTCATGGGAAATCACAATGTGGAAAACACATGAAATATTGCAAACAAATATTGAGATATTGCTTTCTATAATGGTAATATTACTTAGGGTACTAAAAACTTCATATTTTAGACAGTCTATTTTAAAATAATTTAGGGAAAATATTACAATTGAACTGTTCAAATAAAACCTTCTGTTAATTTTCTTTTACAGATGGTGTAAACTTCCAAATTTTAAAATATAGGAAAGGAAAAAGCAAGCACAGTTACTGTAAGTATGCAGATTTCATGAACAATTTCTGAATTTTATACTATCTCAGCCTTAGCTTCAGTAAGGTTGCCAATTTTGGTTGGATATATTCCTGGAGATTTCTTCACATGACATTTTAAACTTAATTAATCTTTAATTCTTGGAGACTCCAGGCCAACCCTGGAGGGTGAGAATCCTAAGCTTCAGTGTAGTTACTGCTGCCTCATCAGTGAAGAGAAAATCAGATTTATTATGTACAGTAACTCCCCACTTAACGTCCTCTCGCTTAATGTTGTTTCGATCTTGCGTTCCAGCTCCATTACAGAACATGCTCATTTAAAGTTGTGCAATGCTCCCCTGTAACATCATTTGGCTGCCTGCTTTGTCCACGGCTGGCAGCCCCCCTTCGTCCCCCTGCTCCTCCTGCACGCGGCAATCAGCTGATTTGTGGTGTTCAGGAGGCTGGGAGGAGGAGCGAGGACGCAGCGCCTCCTGAACGCTGCAAACCAGCTGATTGCTGAGGGCAGGAGGCAGGGGAGGGAGTGAGGAGGTGGTGTGCCGTGACCTCGCTCCTCCCCCTAACCTCCTGAACGCCGCAAGACAGCTGATTGCCGCGGGCAGGAAGCGGGGGGTGTAGGGAAAAGGAGCTGATCCGTGGAGTCCACTGGTGGGCGGGAGGCGCTGGGGGTGGGCATAAGGGAGCTGATGGGGGGCTGCCAGCCTGTTTAATACCTGTATTAAATTACTTGTTTAAAATTGTTTAAAATGTATATAATACCTTTTGTCGGGCCAAAACAAATTTCCCTGGAACCTAACTTCCCCATTAACATTAATTCTTACGGGGAAATTGGATTCATTTAACATCGTTTCGCTTAAAGTCGCATTTTTCAGGAACCTAACTACAACGTTAAGCGAGGAGTTATTGTACCAATGATCCCTAATTGTACGTTCTGTTTTTAAACAGGCCTGGAGTCACGTATATGATAACTAAAGTCTAGCAGGTTTAAATATTAAATCAGTAAAGATTATGGACAGAGCAGTGGATTGTGTGTCAGTTTATAGGGTACAGCATTTATAAATCTTCAGAAGCATTGTATTTCAACTTAAAAATGCACATAAGGGAAACTAGCTGTTTTTCATTACTGAGAGTTGTAGAATATTTGAGCCGCCTGCTGATTGACATCTAATGAAATGCCCAAGTTTTGAGTATGTTTATAACAATTTTATGGAAATAGGATAAGTATCGTTCTCTTTTTATGCCCCAAGAGTATTTTTCATTTTTTAAGTCTGGAATTATTTGAATGTAATCTACTTTCTGGGCCAGTAGGGAGAGAAGTGAGTGAGATCTAGTAGTATTTTATACTGTACTTTAAACTGTAGTCTGAAACTGTACACTGCAAATCTCTTGTTTAGCTGGCACTAGGGCTTTTGGATTACTTTAATGTGAAGTACTCAAAATACACCAGTTTGATGCCATGCATCACTGACTAAAAGCTACTGCTGCAGAAAAAAGAAAAGTCTTTAGTTCTTCATATGGCAGATAATGAAGTAATTATTTGAAAGAGGGATGATGACTGAGAAGAACCCTACACAACATATGCCATGGAATCAGTAACTGGAGTTGGCAGGTTGTTAATGTATACTTTTATATATACTGTAGGAAGAAATTTAATATTTCTTTCACTTTCCTCTGTGACAACTTCAATACGTTTATGTAAAACAGAAAATAAAACTAAAAGTAGGCAACCAGATGTTAATAAATAAACGTGTGAGGGATGGTCAGAAGAACTTCATTTTGAAATGCTAATCTCTATATGGTTTCATTAAAAGATTCAGATTTTCTAGAACAGTGCTAAAGCTGATCTGAGTAACATGTCTGAAAATCCTGTTTTCTGTATCTTTTTTTATTTGTGTAAATCTCATACTTATATACTGGCACAGTAACTTTTAAAATATGTCAATACTAATATTTAAAACAATAAATGCTTCCCAAATTTTGTGACTGCTCAGTGAACAAGCTCTATTTCCTTTAAGCAACTTAGAGCTGGCATAGAAAGTAAGACTGCAGTGATTTTGCATAATCAAGACTTGCAATGAAAATATTTTGTTCAAGTATGTATGTGCTGACTAGATAGTATTTAAACTAAATTTAAAGTCCCATGTACATTGTATCACTGAATTATGTTTTTAAACCATAACAGGGACAACAGTGTTGTAATAGGTACACCTACATAATTGGGTACCCCGCAGCTCTGATGGCATGGGGGAACCTCACAGTTCCCCGCCTCAGGTGGTGGTGTGGGGGGAGGAGGGGCCTGGAACTCCCAGCCACCCGGCATCTGCCTAGCACCTTCACATTTTATCATGGATATTTTTATTGCCCATGACTTATCTGTGACTTTTACTAAAAATATCCGTGACAAAATCTTAGACTTCGCCATAATTTGCCATTTTGTTTGGTTGCCTGGTGGCCAGACAGTGAGTTTCTGTGGGTAGCCATTGAATTACATGTTTATGGTTTTATCTAAAATAGTTTAAGATTTACAGTACATAATTTGTAGCTAAGTAACAAGAAATGCTGCATCTTAAATATTGTCTTGGTTTATTTTTAAATCACCTTAGTCATAGTCTGAGTGATTTCTCTACATAGGTTGTTGAGTTCTGTATATGTTGTCTCTCTCTTTTAAGGACAAACTGCTGATCTGATTTTGACCTATAATTAAAAACCCTGTTTGCACCGCCTGACTGGCATGTCCCACCTGACACTGAAAATGAAAACTGGCCTTATTTTTGCCACAGTTTCCTGTAATCTCTACAAAAGAACTGCTGTAGAGGATCCTGTGTTTTGAGAAGGTGCATGCATAATAATTAATGTGAACTCTTCCCAAATTCCATGTGGAATTCAACTACAGTATTGACAAGCCCAGTAGTTCAGACACCTCCCCCTCACCCCCCATCATACATTTAAAAATATATATATAATTGTGTGTTTTGGTCTGTCTCTTGATGATTTTTTTTTTAATTCCCTCTGCCCACCTCCAATGTGCGTGACAGTAAGTGTTGCCAACTCTTGTAAATGTATTGAGTAAAGTAACTTTGGCCCCTGCTGTTGGAGCTCTCACCAGGGCCGCCCAGAGGATTCAGGGGGCCTGGCGCAAAGCAATTTTAGGCGCCCCTTCCATAAAAAAAAGTTGTAATACTATAGTAACATGTATTTGGAAATGTAAAAATAACCAGTGAAATACATTCAAAAATTAATTTTTAATAATTTGAAAATACACGAAATACATTATTTAAACATATTAAATGCTTTAATGGTATGTATACATTTGCAGTTACATAATGGGCTGTCGCTGGGTGATGGTTGGTGCCAATGGGCTGGTGCTGCCTGGGGGTGGCGCTGCTGTTGCCCAGGGCTGGGTGGGGAGCTAGGCTCTGGGTCGGGGGGGGGCCCAGCTCACAGGGGCTGGGCTTAGAGCTGGGGGTCAGATTTGTGAGCTTTACCAGTTTGCTAGTGTTAGCACAGCTATAAACCCAGGCCAGGCTACAGTCCCATACTTTTCAACAGAGGCTCCACACAACTCTTATTTACCTTGTTGTGAACCTGAGAGAAACTGTAATATTCCAATTTTTCTAGAAGACAGATATGACATCAGTGGCCTGGATTATTTTTTTTTTTTTTAATTCTTAAATATCCTAAGTTACTGGCTTGTGCTCCTTCTAACTGCACAACTCTTCCCTCCCTCTTCCAGGGAAAATCAAAGGCCCAGTTATAATGTTTTGTTTGTTTGTGTGGGTATAGTCAGCAGTTTACAACTAAGAAAATTAGATTGTTGGTGATATGCCCAGTGTCTGAAAAGAAGTAACCCACAGCTGCCTATGTATTTCTTAAATGGCTAACTGATTGAACAATTTACTAAGCAGAACTAGCAAGAGAATCTCCAATTTGGTGACTCCCAGTAGTGTTACAACAGTGCCTTGATCACATCTTCCCACTTAGACTGGGTTCAAAGGGAGGCATGGCCAGTCCTCATTTACTTGGGGGAAGGGAGTCTGTGATGTGGAAGGAAGGAGGAGGCTTAAAGTGGTTGTAAGTGGTTGTACCTTTTCCCAGATACTGCTGCTACATTATTAGTAATAGTAGTATTAATTATTAATTAAATTAAGTGTACGCAATCCCCTATGTGGAACACAGAAGAAGATATGGTCCCTACCTCACTATCTACGTGGACAAATAAACACCAAAACCACAGTGCCTCTGGATGATTAGCAGAAGAAGATTGACAGATATTTCCGTTTTTATATATGTGTGTTACAGCATGGGATACCTTGGCAGAAGTATTTTTAGTGTGTTGTCACTGGGCCAGGTACAGGTCTTTAATTAGATAAAGCTGAAGGAGTGGTCAGGTTTCCAATGTGTACTTTTTCTTGAAGTTTCTACTTTATATTTTTTAAGCTGTAAAAATGAAAGCTTTTTAGATGTGTTCATTTATCCAGTCATTCACCATACAGTTTTCAGTTTTGTAGGCAACCAATGACCTGTCTGTGTAACAGACTCCACACGATTGCAGTCCATCTTTACTTTTAAGACTCTGCCTAATTTACAAAATAAGCACAGATCCTCCTCAGGCACTAGCTAGTTCCCTTACATTTGGAAATTACCTCAATAAAAATACTGAGTCTGCAGCCTAGCTTGGCTGCTTTCGCTGTACACTGTGCTGCTGTTCAGAAAATTTTTTTTCATATGTGATTGATAGAATAATGCTCTCCAAGGGAGAAAGGAAAGAGATTGCAAAGTTGCAGACAGTTATAGATTTGGGCAGTGATCTCACTATACATGCATCCAACCATTTTCTTCTATAGATACTTAAAGATGATCCATTTTCAGTGTCAGTAAGACAGCAATCATTCACTAAGGAAAAACCCTTTATTTTCAATTTACACATGAGTTTATTGATGGTGTAATATGCTCCTCACCCCTCTGAACTATCAGATAGCTGGTATCAGTAGTGTGTTTGGCA